CCCCCTGGAGTCTTCCTTGGTGGCCGCGGGATGTCATCGTGACATGGCGAAAGGTGCAACGAAGAGATGCTGCTATGATTGGGCCTTGACTTCCCTTCAAAGGAACAAGTTGCAGCATGCCCTATGTGGAAACGGGGCAGGTGGGTCGCGCACCACTGCGCGAAAGAGAAAAGAGAGCGAAGTGCGAGCAGATCCAGTTGCGGGTTTTGATTTGTCTCAGCTTGCTCCACTGCTCATGCTTTTGCAGCAGGTTTTAGCTTTGGTTAACAGCGGCAGTTTTGATTTGCAAGACGTGTTGCAAAAGTTAGGTGCTGTGATGAACGGTTCTTCCAAGAAGGGAGGGACTAACACACCGACCAAAAAAGAGGCGCAAGAAAAGAAAGTCCAAGCGTGTGCTTGCTCCGCCCTCCCATGCTGTGCAGCCATTTTCTGAAAGGACTTTTGCCGATTCGAAACAGCAGCTTGACAAAGCTGCGCCATCTAAGCCAGACAAAGGGTCGACCGACCCACATCCTGCGGGTCGCACATTTGTGCAAGTTGCAGGAGCTGCAGGTGAGAAGCAGGTTTTCCAACCGGTATGGCAACTGAGGCCTTCAGATTGGGACGCCAGCATTTTGTCCATTGATGAAATCACGCATAGGATTTGTGAAAAGAGCCCTGCCAAACTTCAGGCAGTGTCCTTTGTGCAGAATGATAGCGAACTGGACGAACTTCGTACTCTGCTATCTGGATTTGAGGACGCCAGTCATGAACTTGGTATCACCGCAATCATGTTGGCAACAAAGGGTGACACACCAAAGCAAGATGGTGAAATCATCCAGGTGCCAGGCAAGAGGCAAGGCAAAGTGACACCGAGAATGGCACACGTCGTGAAGCTTGGTTCCAATTGCCCGTCCTTGAAGAGAACAATTCGACGCATCGAATCTACCCCGGAGATGGTCAAAACAGTCGTGCTTCGACTCGCCACTGAGGCACGCTACCACGATGAAAGCAAGTGGAAGGCCATCCTTGAGCACTCATCACACGCTGCGCACAAGTGGTTGCATTCCAACTTGCCTGCTGTAATGCAGCGCAAAGTCAGAGACACTTGGGGATGGCAGTTGGAATCCTCAAAGGGTGGTGGAAAAGCGTTGGTCACTGCTATGGTTCGTGTGGAGCACACAGCGGTCAACTCCATGCTTTCCCTCTCAGGTAAAGAGTCTTGGTTTATCGAGCCTTTGCGCTGGGATCAGCCTGATGTGCCTGCTTGTGAAGTCAAGTGGGTTAAAAGGAACCCCGAAGAGCCGGGACCTCAGTATGCAAACCGAGTACATGCAGAGGCTGGGAACCTTGGAGTTGCCCGAGGTTGGAAAAGCCTCGGTGTTCGTGTGCCTCGGGGATCTGAGACAAGAAGCAAGACCCGTACCAAAACATGGAGGGTCACTGGGGTTCCAAGTGATTGGAGCCACGAGCCAGTCTTCGCAGAACTTCAGGCAGCTGGCCTGTCCAACTTGCAGCTGACGAGTCGCAAGTCTTATGGCAGAAAAGCAACGCTTTTTCTGACAGCCTCCTGTGAGAATGATGTTGATTTCGTTGAAATTCGTTTCGAAGGAAGCCCCATGATTGCAACAGCTTTCAACCCTGCCAAGCATCACCGGAGTGAGCGCAAGCCCCTGAAGTCTGGTAGTGGCCTGTCTTTTGCTCCTGATGCCTTCCCGTCCGAGACAGATACCCATGGCAAATCGGTGAGAACTTCCTTCTATGTTGCTTCACCGGTGAAGAAGAAGCAAAAAGTTGAAGAGGTTGCTGAAACCCAGCTAGATGCAAGCCAACCAGATTCATCTATGGATACCAGAGAACCTGCAGAAGCGACTTCACCCCGTGAGGGCGCTGCAGGAAAGCGAGCAGCCGGTTCGCCCAACAAGGGCGATGATTGTGCGCCCAGGTCCAAAGTTCTTAAGCGACCAGTGCCGAGTGGTATGAGTCGTGTGAAGAATGCTGGGCAAGGGAATTGTCTGTTTGAAGCCATCGGTCAGGCTTTGAGTCCGAACAAGCCGAAGCATGGCCGAACTGTGCGTGCTGCAATTGTGACCCATTTGCGACGTCACTCAGACCGCTACCAGCCTTGGTGGGACGCTTTGGGGCCTGACGGCAAGTCTTGTGACAGTTTTGACGCCTACCTCAAGCTCCTCAATAAGCCTGGCGCTTGGGCGGGCTGTTTGGAGATCGCCGCCGCCGCGGCGCACTATGACAAAGCCATTTACGTTTTTGGTCCTGTCTTGCAGTCCCATGTTGAGGGATACAATACGTCTTGTGCCAATGGTTATCTCTCTTTGTGGTATGAGGATAACCATTACGAGTGGCTCAAAGGTCCGGTTCCCGATGATGTCCGCAAAAATGTTTGCAATGGTCCTTTGCAAGGCGGGCGGGGAGGCGCGACCTCCAGCAAAGTTTCGACTTCTGCATCTGGGCGCACGAGGTCCTCTGCGTTGCCGCCCCCTCCAAGTTTTGGCGGGCGTACCAGAAAGTCTGCCTTGCCTGACCTCCCGGTGCCCTCTGTTCTCAGTGCTCAGCGGAACACCCAGGTGTCAGCAAAGTCTGTGAGCAGCAGCCGTTGTCTTGATGAGGTTGATCTTGCTGATCGTGATGACATGCCGGATCCTCCACCAGTTACGTCCGCCAGGGACAAGAATCAGCCGCAAGATTGGGTTTGCCCTGAATGTGGATTCAGAACTGGTCTCCATAAGAATTGGAGCAAAATCCGTAGGAACCATGTGGTGACTTGGCATGCTGAGAAGAAGAATTTCTACAACCGACACAGAGTCGCTGACCTGATCCCATGGGATCCCGACCTTTGCTCTTGGAAATGCCCTCTGTGCGCTTCGGGTGTCCCAAAGACTGTCAGCGATGTTGATATGCATTACAGAATGCGTTTGGCTCACCGTGATAGATGCCACCCCAGGGCCAAACGCCAGCGTTTCGTGCGTGCCCGAGGCAGCAGTGCCAATGCACGAAAGGCGACCATCGCCAAGACTGCTGCAGGCCTGGCAAGAAGAATGGTTGATTTGAAGGCCGGTGAGCAGGGAGAGCACGATTGCGAGATCCTCCAGCTCCCACATGTTGGCAAAGGCAAAGCTGTGCGTCGATTCCACAACAAGCTTTTTTGTAAGAAGTGTAAGGCCTTGGCAAGCTCCGTCAAGAAGCTTTCAAGCGTGAGATGCGATGCCTCCTTCAAAGGAGGTCCGAAGCGAAAGCAGCTGATTGCTAGTTTGCAAAAGTTTGCTGATAAGCTCAGTGTAGGTTCGCAGGAGCACACCGCAACCTTGCAGGTGGTTTCGAAGATTTCTCCTCCTGCCAATGTGGATGAGCTGGTCCCAAGAGCCCACAATGTGGTCCAGGTCCAGACGCCAGGCAAACGCAAGCAGGCCGCTTTGTTCTGCACTCGCTGCCGTCGCCTGTCTGCCACAAAGAAGCATTTGAATAAGTTCAACTGCAGTTCAGCAGCGGTTTGGTCCCCTGCGCGTGAGCGGGTCTTGCGACAGGTCGATGAAAACGCAAAGGGAGCCAAAGGCAAACGCTTGAAAGCGTTAAGTGAGCTGACTGATTTGCTCACTGGGAAGGCGACTAGCAGCTCAACCCCATGACTGTACTTGAAGCTGCCAATGGGGGACAACGATGTCCCAAGCATGATGGTGCCTTGCGAATCGCCACACTCAATGTGCGTTCTCTCAAGGGCAAAATGCCCGAAGTGTTGCAACTGGCTGACAGCTTGTCAGTCGATATTTTGTGTCTGCAGGAAGTCAGACTTTCTGAAGATAACTTGCTGGCCGCGTCTCACGCAGCCAAGCGCAGTGGTTGGCAATTTTTCGCTAGCCCTTGTGCTATGAACAATGCGGGAGCACCTACTGCCGGTGTTGCCATACTTAGCAAATGGCCTGTTGACAAATATGTGTTACCTGACCCCTCCTGTGTTCTCCGGGCACAACAAGGCAGGTGGCAAATCATGAGAGTGCACAGGCCTGGTTCACGGCCTTTTTTGTGCGTCAACCTTTATTTGCATGCTTCGGATAAGATGCAAGCCCGGAACTTAGGTAAGAGTCTCTTTGAGGCGATCGCTGTCAGCGGTGAAGATTGCATCTTCATAGGTGACTGGAACTGCACCGCTGAAGAAGAGCCTGTGCGTTCAGTTCTTCGCAGTGGGTGTTTGCATATGGCCGATGATGTGGCTGGCATTGAAACCCTAGCCATTCCGACTCACGACAAAGGTCGGCATATTGACTTTGCTTTACACTCTATAGGTCTTGTCCCTTGCGCCAGAAGCCAGTCCGCAGGGATTGCTGACCACTGCGCAGTCATGTATGATTTTGCGGTTGCCGGTTTGGAGCCTTGTTTCAAAGTCCCTCCTCCTAAGACCTTAAAGGCAAAAGAACCCGTCGAGCAAGAGCGGTGGGATGCTTCTTTTCCTCTTGAACGGTTTGATTTGTTGTTAGCGCAGCAGGATGTTCAGCGTGCTTGGAATTTGTTAAGTGACCATGCCGAGTCTCTTTTGCAACCCCATTCGGTAGGTCGTTCACGCACGACAGTTCCTGGTCCCACATGTGTTGCCACAGCGCCCACTAAGGTCGAAAGACTTCAGACTGTGTTGGAGCGTCGCCTCCGTCGCACCCTGCGACGTCTGGCAGAGCTGCAAAAGACTGATGCTGATTGGAGCTTGGCACGTAAAGTGCTGAATGCGCTGCCGTACTTGCAAAAGCATTTTCCTGAGCTCACTGAGGTTCAGAATCTGGACACAAATCTTATCGCTGTCCTCGAGCAATGCTTGCAGAAAGAAATATGTGCTAGTCGGGAAGCTCGGCTGCAGTCCTGGAAGCGTAAAATGGAGGAAGACGAGTCTTCCCTTGTTCGATGGGTGAAAGGAGCTGACAAGGTTTCTTGCTTTGCCACTGACGACTCTCGGGTCCCGGTGCACCCACAGCGCAAAGCCGAACATTTTGCAAATTTTTGGCAGAAAGTTTGGTCCCCGCCTTCCCTGGCTCAAGAAGAGGCTGTTGACCCTTTCTTGGATTGGATCCCGCCCGGGGGTTTTTCTTGCTCAGAGCCAAATTTCACACCTGCAAATCTCAGATCTCAGGTACGAAAAGCTGTTGGCAAGGCCCATGGGCCTGACGGTTGGACGGGTGACTCATGGTCCTTGTTGCCCATGGGTTTCTTTGATGCCTTGGCCAAGTTGTGGAATGTGGTTATGAAAACGGCGCGCTTGCCATACCAGTGGCACTCAGTTCGTTGCGTTTTGATTCCCAAAGAGGTCGGACTCCGACCCATCAGCATTGCAACCCTTGCCTGGCGAACTGGCATAGGTGTCCTTGCTCAGCAGCTGGCTCATTGGATTGATTCATGGGCCCCTGATGAACTTGTGGGCGGTTTGAAAGGCCGATCTTCAGCTACTGCGCATGAACAATTGCATGAGAGCATAGCTTGGCCCAAGGTTTTTGGAGCTAAGATCGACATTGCCAAATGCTTCGACCATGTCGATGTTAAGCAAGCTCTTCGTGTCTGGTCCAAGTTGGGGGCACCTCACACTGTGGTGGCTGTCCTCCAATCCTTTTATGACAAACAGACGAAAACCATGGAATGGTTAGGTTCTTCCACTAAACCTTTTGGTTGTTCTCGAGGCCTTTTGCAGGGTTGTCCCTTGAGTTGCGGTCTGCTAGCCGGCCTGATGACGGTGTGGTATTGGCACATTAAAGCCAGTGCACCCCAAGTCTGTGTCTCTGTTTTTATTGATGACAGAACCCTGTGGAGCTCCGATTGGCGTCAGCTTTGTCTGTCACTCGAAGCGTCCAGTAGGATTGAAGAGGCTTTGGGCTTGAGTCTGAATCACTCCAAATGCGAGCTTTTTTGTAAGTGTTCTTCATTTCAGCTCGTTTCAGTGAAACGGTGGAATCATGAGTCCCACCGGAACTGGAAAGTTTGCAGACAATTTAAGCTCCTTGGTGTCCACTACTCTCTCTCCAAGCGTCGGCGCACACCTGTAGAGGACACTGTGACTCGCAAGGTTTCTGCGCGACTGCGCAGACTTCGGACCGCAACCAGCAACCAGAGAAACAAACGCAAGCTCACGCGCAGTTTGGTGTTGTCTTTGTTTGCTCATTCGGGGCCGTGGACAACTGTGTCCAAAAAGCTCTTGAATCAGTGGCGTAACACCATTGAGCAAACCATCATCGGCCGTGCCGTGCCGGGCAGGTCTCGTTTTCTGCTTTGGCAGTATTTAGGTCCGGATCTTTGTCCTGAATTCGCGTTGGACAGGCGGGTAGTCTTTCATGAGCTTTGGAAAGTCAGACGTGCTGTCTCAAGTTGCTGTTCCCTGCTCGACATCGAGCAGGTGTGTGCCGCTATGCCCCAACCTTCGACCTCTTACCGATTGGCAGAAGTTTTGAACAAGTGGCAGTGGCAGCACATCTCGCAGAGTCGTTTCCGCACCCCGCAGGGGGGACCTTGATTTGGCATTTGACGGGTTGCCGGCAATCAAAGAGGCCATGAGACACGCATGGCTGGCGTACCTTTGGAGAAACGAGCCCCGCGCGCAAGATGACGCGGAGGTTTGTCAACGTGTTTTGCCAGTCTACCAGGCGCATTCAGCTTGGATGCGTCAGGGCGTCTCTGATTGGGAGTCCTTCTGCATTGCGGTCGGCGCTGGCAAAGATAGTCGTAAACTCGCCAAGCAGCATGAGCTTGAGTCCTTCAATTGTGCATGCGGGAGGGAATGGCCTTCACGCACACATGTCACGTGGGATTGTCCTTCTTGCCCAGGGTTGCCTGAGGCTTCTCGGCCTACACGCAAAGCTGAGGAACGTTTGCTCGTTCCTAGCATCCAACTTCCTCCCATACCTGATGAAAGGTGTAGCCAGTTTTTGCGACCGGATCCGAATTTGTGTGATCTTTTTCGTAGGACTGCCACGGCCGACCAGGTACTTTTGGTAGCTTCCGATGGTAGTTCTCAAAAGGTCCAGAATCTGCGCAGGGCTGCTTGGAGTGTCGCAACAACCGACCGGGTTTTTGCTGCCCGTCTCCAGGGACTGGATCAAAACATTTTTGGCGCTGAATCGGTTGCTGTTTTGAAAGCTTTCATTGCTGCGACTCATTTGCGCGTAGATCTTCTGTTGGTTTGCGATAACCTTGCAGTCGTCAGACGTGTGAAGCAAATCCAAACGACGGGATATTTGCCTCAGTGGGCGCCGGGCCTGTGGAAGGCCTTAAGCTTAGTTTGCTCCACCCACGAAATTGCGTGGGTGCCTTCGCACGATAAGCTTCTTGATTGGACCCCGTCCCTTGCTGGCCACATGGCTGAGACTTGGAGACTCCTCAACAAGCGAGCCGACGCCAAAGCTCAGGAACAGGCCGCTCGGTCTGTGCACGAGCTTCTTGATTGGAAATTTACCTTTGATGCTGCAGTGGCCTGGTCTGCTTCAGCGCTTGATAGGCAGCGGAGTGCTTTGCGGTTCCTGAGGCGCCTCATCGCTCCTTCCGCACCCAGCTGTGATGTTCCTTCTGTTGGCTTGTCAGCTTGACGGAAGCATGAGTTGACATGGTTTTGCTGTCTTCGCTGCAGCAGTCACTTTGCCTTCGCAGGATTTTTGCTGGACATTGAAATCTACGGATAGACCACTATCTGCCTTTGGCGATTTCTTTTTTCGTTGGGCGCTTTGCGCCTGGAACACTGCCTCCAGCCATTCATTGCTATGAACCCAGGCTGTGGCAGAGCAAGACTACACACACACACAAAGAGAGCCATTCACGCGACTTTGGTGCTTCTTGGAGAGTCCGCCTACAAAGAATAATCTCGCACCCATGTTCTCTCCGTTTCCTGCCCACCGTGGCACCATCACGCGTTCCCTCTGGCCGGTGGGGCCAATAGGAGGCGGTCGGCCATATCCAAAGCGCGGAGGATGCAAAGGCCCATCTGGAACAACTGGTTCCTCCGCTCTGCTTAAAGGTGACGCTTAAGCAATGCCTAGCACTGAGAAAGTGCAAGCTAGGCCCATGATGCTAGCTGCGAGGCCTCTGTAAGAAATTAAGATCTGAAAGCGCTCAAGATATACCCTCCTCAGAACTCTTGAGGCTCCGATCCAACAAGTACCTTCTTCTGTAAAGCCATTTACAGTAGATGGGAAGAGTGAGCCCAGAGTGAGATCAAAAAGGCAGCTTCCTCAGCGGCCGAGCGGCCTCTGCTGCTTCGTCCTCTTGAGCCTTCGCTTCCACCTCTTCCACACTGCCGCCGCTCAGCGCGCGGAAGACCTTCTGCTCCAGGGAGGGAAAGCTGACCGCACGAGGCTGAGGAGGCCTAGAGGGCCGGACGAGGCATGCGATGCGAAGCATCCTGCATCGCAATGGGTCATAAAACAGGGGGAGGACTAAAACACGGTTGACCTCCGAACATGAACAGTTAATAGATCACCAAACATGGTCAAACTACCAGGATATACCAGGATTTGGAGGTACACTGATGCAGGCGTGGGATGCTGGCGCCCACACTAGGATATTTTGACCCTCAACGCCATGTCCACAGTGGGCTGAGTTTCTTTATCGAGCCACAGGACTCGTGTGTCGGTACAGCCTTTGCATGAATTGGTCTTTGACATCTCTTACAAAAGATTCTCCCATGATTGCACCAGGTGCCATGATTAACTTCCTTCAGGTGGCTTAACTTAGCTTCATATTTTGGCAGTAGCACTTTCTGCCATGCTGTACATGAATCATGCCAAAACCGAGAACAAAGGCAAATCGAGATCTTTCAGGCAACACTCCTCGCACTTTTTCTGTGTGTTTTAGTGTGTCAAGAGGCCACAAAAGTAACAAGGGAGCCAGGGCCTCAGGGTCCCCAACAGGGTCCCCAAGGCACTGAGCAAGAGGAACAGAAACTGAGCCGACAGTGTCCATGTCCACTTCTGATCTATCAAGGAACCCCACCAAGTGAGATGTGTGTAGGTCATGGCACCTGGAGCCCCCTTCACCCCGGTAAGCTGACCATGTCTGGTGATCTATTCTGTTCATATTCGGTGGGAAAAAGCCAGAGTGTCGCCATGACCCACAGCCATGTCTTGCAAGAAACTTTCGGATGTCCCTAATGTGCTGATCGATGACCCGATGACATCAAAAAGCATCAAACACACGGGCCGGAGGACCCCAAAGGTTTAAAAGCGGACCAAAAAGGCTTCCAAGGCCACTTAAACATGGTTGAGGCTGGTGTTGTAGTCTAAAATCTGTAAGCTGGGTTGTTGGGTGAAGACTGACGACTCTCGAATCAATTTGCTGGGCAATTTCGCTTGCCGATCGGGCAGTCAGCCTGCGTCCCTTGCCGATCGATAGTCATTAGTCTTCCTGGCCTGGCAAAGAGAAACGCATCCCAATGGTAGCGGTCACCTGGCGAGAACTAGAGGGGTCGCTGCCAGGTAAATGATGCAAATTGCATTTCTTGCATCACCACCCCTCAAAAATCACCTCCAACACAACCTCAAAAAACCTTCCATCCGTCCACCCTCTTCCCCCAGCATGTGCCAAGTCTACGTGCCACCCGCCCAGACCCCCTAACTACTCACTTCGTTCGCCAAGCACAACTCAGCTGGCGCCTTCTACGAAGGCTGGCTTTCGTAATCTATGATCCATTTCTTGCCCATCTCCAACGTGATGTCGTGATGTCCATGTTCCTCCAGCCCCCTTCCGTCCTAAAAACACCTTCAATCTCGGATCGGGACGCTCAGGACGTCTACGGTCGTGTCCAATGAGGCGCGAGAGTTGTGGGTCCCAAAGGGAAAACGATCACCAGTTGATGGTTTCAACTCAACAAAACATATGCCTCTGGAGGTCCAGTACTCCCTTATTTACTCCCCAAACTGCTGCAGACTCGGACTTTCGGGTCGAGTCCAGAAGTGAGAGAGAGAGAGAGGTCTCGGGTTTGACCAGAAACTTGGTTGAATTCCTGGGAAAATGGGACATGATCCTGACGGGTACAACATGGATACAACTGTAGAAGTATATGAACGGGTCAACTCCAGATACATGCGCTGATCTTCTCAAGACCCCGAGCTGCAAAAATTCCGTCAACAGAACCGCCCTTGCTGATAGCGCCAAACCACCAACAAAAAAATAGAACAGCCATGATGGACATTCCGGGCCTGGCCATCTGATGGGGCGATATGCATACGCACTGGACCATACGTCTTTGATGGTTTTGATATGGTTGATATATGGGTGTCAAACATCGGGCAACCATTTGTGTCACTTTGCTTGTTTTGTTTTACGTCTGCCAAGTGACCCAAGTGACTCACATCTCCACCAGTCAAGCCACCATCAGCAGCTCCTGCGTCTCGAGTGAATCACAGAATCACGTCTCGACTCCAGGTCCTCAGGTGTTTTTTTTGATGTTTTTCTTTCAGGAACTGCACTTGTTTGTTTCACATGGGGATCGTTGTGGAAACTAGCTTTGTTCTTTCACCCAAACACTCCATGCATTGGAACTAGACTAAGAACATTTACCGTATACATGACATGTATATACTTACATGTATATATAGGTGGTTGACCTGGGGGGTCAATGTACATCGGTGAATATTCCAGTCCCTTGGAGTGTCTGGGAAGGGGGCCCGCTCTGGCGTCATCTCAAAGCATCTCAAAGCAACTCCCTGGCATCGCCTGGGACAATCCAGTTCGCACCGAACTGTCCACCCCATTTTGAGTGGTGTCCCCAGTGTCAATCCCCTCAAAAGCGTTCGTTTCAACATGGTGTCTAAATGGTTTAAGGACAAATCCACTGACTTGGACCTTTCAGAAAGAGCCGGGGTCCCTCCCCTCCCTACCCCATCCATTCCCTCCATCGCCTCCATCTTCCAAGCTCCAGGGCGTCAGCCCAAGCCCCACGGCGGCCCGCGGCATGGGGCGACGAGTCGCGGAGCGCGGAGGGGCAGTTTCTCGCGACGAAGGAAACGGCGCCGGAGCGGTCGAACGGAGAAAGTCCCCGTTCGGCGGACGAGTGAATGCCATCGATCGGCCCATCCCCCCCTGGCTCCAGTCGCACCTTCGTTTCGTTTCGGTGGGACTGGGGTGGGTGCTCGGAGGGTCCAAATACCTGGTGCTTTGGTACTTGGAGGTCTGGGGATTCAAAGGATCACACACCCGCCATTGGACCCAACAAAGGTCTAGAAGTCACAAGTGACTTCTGGAGGGCGGTACTTTTTTTTTGCCGAAAACCAAACGAACTCCACCTGTTACTTGTTGAGTGGGGTGTCACCCAATGTCCAGAAAAGGTGATCGGCAAGTGATACTTTTCCCCAGTAAGGACACCAATTGGACATGCTTGGATTCATGATGCCCTCTGAGCTCGCCTGACTAAGTGGTCCCAATCATCAAAAAGGAAAGCGGCTCAGGCAGGGAGAGTTGTGCGGCTGAGGAGTCGTTTCTGGATCATTGCAGCAGCACGGTTACCTGGAAGGAATCACAGTTGCGTGGAATGGCACCACCCGTTTGGTATTCAGAACATGCTCATCCAAATCACCATGTCATCCACGTAACCATGTTCGTTCCAGCAAGTGTCAGTCGTTGGATCTCAAAGCCACCAGGAGATGCGGGAGCCAACTGGGTCACTGGGGCCCCCAACGCCGCCCCTCAATGCACGGCCCGGCCTCTGCCAATCGACAGAACACTCAGAAGCATACTGTTCCAGGACTGCCAGCACACCCTAAGGGGCTTTCATTGATAGCCCCTTAGATGTTAGGGGGTGTCCATTAACCACCCCGATTGTGGGTCCTGGTAGAGTCCAGCTTCCGAAGGTTTAGAGTCGGGGCCTAGCATCCACTTCTGGGCCAAGCGGTCCAATTCCTTCTCAATCTGGGTACGATCAAACAGGGACACTGGACACTGTTTCTGCGCCAATGGGACTGCCATAGGACTGCCGATCAGGCCAGGGGTGGTGCCAGGGGGGGATCAATGGGGCGGCATATATTCCAGACCCATGGAGTGTATGGGCTTTTTGGCACGATGCTAAGGAGAAAAGGCCGGTGGTGCGATTGACTCGGGACTCATCATTTATCGTGGATGACTCGCTCCAGAGTGCTCGTGTGTGCATACACCCTCGCGGTGCTCCATCTGAGAGCCACGGAGAGGCGAACCAAAATGGATCAAGAAGAAGAAGAAGAAGAAGAAGCAAGTTCAGAGCTGTATGCTGCTGAACACGCCAAGCAGTTACAAAGACGACCTCAAGTGAGAAAACAAACACGGACAAGAACAATGTTACTAGCAAGTTCTGCAGCCGCACTTCTTCTCAGAGGTTTCTCCATGCTTCTCCCTGTCGTCACCACAGAGATGCAACTTCCGACTCAGACGGGTTCCACCAAACCAAATGGACCGTAAAGAACACGTAAAAACACAAAAAACCATCAAAAACCGATGTTTGGCAGATTGACCGATCAGTCAGTTGGGATGGAGAGCTTTCGGTGCTGTTGATGCATTCTCCGCAAAACTCCGAAGAAACGCCCGACGTGTTCTCTGCCCTCCCAAGAACACCACCGCCCTCGGT